TTCAGATGAAATACTGTTCTGCTTAGTTGGAGGCAGTAGTCTATTTACATATTATTAAGATAACTTATTATTAAGAAACAGCCATGAAGAATAACCCAGAAGCCTAATGCATAAGGTGGAACATACTGCTTTACAGAAACCAGTTTGCAGGACACAGACCATATCAGGAAAATCTTGCTTTCAATAGCAATTATACTGACTGTTAAAGACTGACCTATTAATATTACTAGGTATGGATCATGAAGTATTCTACAAAGCCAAAAATATTTTCAAGTTTTGAATTCAATAAGCTAAGTCTGCATTAGACCTGGGCTTCAGTCTGGATAAGAATAATTGGTTCAGAATTTATAAATTAAAACCAAAGTATCAAAATAAGTTAAGCCAGAAAAACATATGTCTTTTTTTACATAGTGAAGATTACTTTTAGGTAAAATTTAGCAGAAAAACAGTTTGGGAATAAACAAAAGTTCTCTGTTGGCAGTGTCCGGTTTGGGATTTAGCTCTGTCCTCTCCTTGGAGGCATCTGTTAACTAAAATCCATCCATACAAAAAGGCAACGCAGTGAAAAGCTGAAATATTGACATTTCAGTAAAGTGCACGGGGACTGTGGCAGACTTAATGGCTTTGCTATGACCTTATCTCAGATGCTGGACTAAATGATGGGGATGCCAGGTTCTTGACTATTCTATTGAGGTTGGCAATTTTTTCTTCTAGCAAATAGTTTTTCCTTTCAGCAGTTTTCTGCCGCTGTTCTGTCACCTCCAAAGCCTTCAGCAGTTGTGCGTTCTCAACATAGAGATCCTTGACCATCGCATCTGCTTTAGTGTTCTTGGCAAGCTGAATTATGAATAGAACATAATTACTCAGCAGATTAAAAGCAAAATAATAATAATAATAATAGAACAGTGCTGGGAAAGTAGGTGAATTCACCTTATTTTCCTTTGTTAAAAACCTCTACGTTTGTGAAGTGTTAATAAATATGAGTATTTTGAAACAGGAAAGACTTCGTACAGTGATCAGGCAGATGATAGAGGGCTTCAAATGAATCTTGTCAGGTGAGCACCCCTGTATAGCATTTGTCCTCTAAGGAGAAGTCTACTTCACAAGAGGATCCACCAGCTCAGTGATCCCACAGACATAAGTCATCTGATGTTTGGACCATTAGCTCCTCCTATAAAACTGGGGAGAGCAGCCTAGCACTTGTCTACATGATTTTTGGGAACAGCCCTTTGTCAGGAGACCCTGTCAGTGTAGCACTTGCTTAACATGAAAACAGAGATTGTACCTCAGTAGAAAACAAATATTTTTATCATGTCAAGCCTAAATGTTTAAACACCACCTTTTCCTACACTGTGGGGGTCTTCTTCAGAAGGCAGACCAAGGCAAGAGCAAAAAAAACCCAAACCATATCAAGCTAAGAGTGCATTGAGGCAGGGGGCATGGAACAATCAATAATCATACAGTAATCCTGGCTATACTCTTCAGGAAACTCTTTTTCCTCCTTTTCTAAGCAACTTTTCCAGTTAAGATACTTAGCTGGAGTTTGACATTTGTTTCTTGACTTTAAGAGCATCAGCATACCAAACCAGTATAGCTTTTAGGAAATCAGTGAGTGATGGATTCAGTCCTCAATTTAGAATTTTAGGAAGTTTTGGGTAAATATGCTGTACTTTAGCTCGGAAGCCTTGGAAGAAAAAGGAAAGCACCTTTAACTTTATTCTAATCAAGAATGGCTCGGCAGCTTTTCTCCACTTAATTGTTTATAGAAGTAATGGGGATGATTCAGAAAACCTACAAGAAGGCTGGGGAGGGACTTTTTACAAGGACAAGTAGTGATATAACAAGGGGAAATGGCTTTAAACTGGAAGAGGGAAGGTTTAGATGAGGTGTGAGGAAGAAATTGTTTGGTGTGAGGGTGGTGAGCCAGTGTCCCAGGTTGGGCAGAGAAGCTGTGGCTGCTCCTCCCTGGAAGTGTTGAAGGCCAGGTTGGATGAGGCTTTGAGCAACCTGGTCTAGTGGAAGGTGTCCCTGCTGCTGGCAGGGGGGTTGGAACTGGATGAGCTTTAAGGTCCCTTCCAACCCAAACCAGTCTGTGATTTGAGGAAGAGAGTAAGAATGCTTACTTGTTCTTTCAGCTGATTTACTTTGTCTTGGAGAAGCCTCTTCACAAGCCTTAGTTTCTGTTCAACATCCATCATACGTTCTTCCATCATTTTTAGAAGCTGCTCATGAACCCCCTGAAAAGCAACATTTATGTGAGAATCAGTTAACAAAAATCAGTTCATGAGTTCACGTTCACTAGTCTTTTTTTCTGTTTATGCTTAAGAAAATAGCTGGCACTCCATATTTGCATCTATTTTAAAGTCAACTAAATAAATTAACAATTCATGGAAGTAAAATATTATGGAAACACTTCAAGGACCCTCACAGCATTGAACTAGTTTTCCAAGTCTGTTACACTTGAGATTACCAGATGTAGAAAATAAAAAATTGATATAAAATTCTAAGTTCTGTCTTGACTATGATAGGCAGATCTGGATAGTTTCCTTTTCTTGTTCTTAGATGCCACCATATTTCCATTGGATATGGGAAACAACCCATCAAAATCCTAAGAATTTTAGGAAAAAAATTAAGGTGAATTCACAATGGCATGTTAGTTTGACAGTCTAATGCTCCCGTGCCAAAGACCCCTTGAAATTGATATCCTAAAAAAAAAAAAATAGAATGCTATTATCCTAAACCTGATTTTTTATTTTATTTTTTGATTAATTGTTGTTAACTAATGTTTCCAAACAGTAACTCTAAAATGCTTTTGCTCTTTTTTCTTCAGTGAGATAACAGACAGTCTAACTAAAAGCACAGTAACTCAGTCTCAGGAGTGAAATTTCCCTCAATAAATTAGAAACACCAGACACTACAAGAAAGCTTGTTTGTGTTTGGGAACTTTAGACACTGGCTGCAGGGAGAGGGATTCTTTATTTTAATGCTAGCTCGTTACTTTCATTCTAGGAAGTCATCTGAGAAGATTAACTTTAAGAAAGCACTAACCTTCTCCCCAGAACAAAGTATGATGAAAATGAAAAGTACTTGCACACACGTGGGTGAGGATAAATTAAAACCAGGTAGGTAGTTGCTCATCTGAACCACTGTAGCAAGATCCCCTTAAGGGATTGACTGAAGCCCACTCAACATTGTATTTGTTGTAACACCAGAAATTCCTTAAGTCTATATATGTGGGGTTATATGATCACTTAGCATGTGAAAAAAGTTTTTTTAAAAAGTCATATTAGAGTCATATAGAAAGCATTTTTACAGTGTTAATGAACTGGATATTTTTCTGGATTAAAAAAGTACCACTAAGCAGAACTTGTAGGGGACTTTCTAGCCAAGTAATCTTGAGCTATCTTTGATTAGAATTCAAAACCGTGGCTGACTAAGCAGAACTTGTAGGGGACTTTCTAGCCAAGTTATCTGGAGTTATCTTTTGTAGTTTGATTAGAATTCAAAACTGTGGGTGACTGTTACACTTCATATTGGTTGCAGGAGCCTTGATGAAGTAGTTAAGTGGAAACTAAGAATTATAGTGGTCTCAGTATCCGTGATCCTTGTTTTTTGGCTTAAAGTTGATTTGAGAATGTTCTAACTTCCTATTTAACGTTTAGTGGGAGAAGGCAGCTCAAGCACTGGCTTTAAGATCATTAGAAAGATAAAAGCAAGAAGATTTCTGAAAGCAAACAGCTGAAATGGTTCATGGCTCCCAGCTATGAACCCCAGAAAAATCACAAGCCCTAAAGGTGTCTTGCTGACCTCTTACAGTATTGAAAATCTAGTTTAATCTAGTAATTTGAGACAAAAGAAAAAACTACTAAGGAATGTTATCCAAGAAACAAGTGTGTTAATAATTTTCCCTTTTCTGGCACTGTGTTTTTACTTTCTGGCCACAGTAGTAGAACATGCCCATGTACTATGCAAATTCTTTTCTTAAATGTGCAGGTACATCTGCTAAAGAGGAGCTGAGTATCTCTATGTTCTTAAGTACATCCCCTATTACAAATCATTCCCAGAAGTCTCAATATGACAATCCTCAGTATCAAAGGCAAATATTTTGTCTAAAATTTGTTAATGCTTTGTTCATAAAGCCGAAACTATTGATACTATTAAGACAAGAGACATTATGTTTAAAAAGAAATTTTATTTTTCATTTACATCAAAAAAATGTCATCTTTCCCTGTTAAAAAGTTTATACATCTTATACAAAAATCCAGTATAAATACCCCAGATTTTCTTCAAATCTCATATAAAATTAGTACCATTTGAGAAAAATAGTCTCTTTCCACATTGAATAACTCCACATTTTAAATAACATAAATAAAAAAAGTATTTGAAACAAATAAAAAAAAGACATCTTATGAACTTTCACAAAATAGCTCGAGACAAATAAATAGGAAATAACACTGTGGAGAAGACTTTTTTTTTTAAAAAAAAAAAAAAAAAGAAAAAGTACAAAATAATTTGATCCTCAAGTTTCTCAGCTTATGCCAGTTTGTGTGTTTGTGTGTGTTTAGCATGGTAAGGAATGAGATCATAAGCAGCCAAGCTGTCAGAGGTGCCCGATCCTCCGGTAGGAATCTGCATGCACTGCTCGCTGCTCCGGTAGCAAGGCCTAGAGAAAGAAGGGAAGTGGGATACTTCACCCTGATATCCAGATTTTTTTTTTTTTACTTTTAAATACGTACGTATATTTAGTTAAAAGCAAACCACCAGTACAAGCAAAGCAAGCAACACAAGACAAACCAACAAAAAAAATCCACACACACACACAAAAGAAAACATGCAAAATATCAGATATTCTATTTCTCTAAATATTAGCCCTACATATATGCAATTGAGGAGATATTCAGGATGAATTTTCTAGATGTAAGGACTCTTCAGACAGCTCACCCATGCTTTTGAGGGATTCCAAAAGATCAGTGGCAGTGATTAACTGCAATTAGCAAAGCGGTTAAGTTTCTTAAAGGAAATTATCTGCCTCTATAAATATATAATCTCACAGACTGCTGAATAGCATTTGTGAAGAATGTAGTCCAACTGATCCTCCTTTGAAAACTTACTCTCATTTCTATTTTAAACCTAGTTGTAAGCCTTCTCCTGAGACAGGTGAACAAGCTGTTGGTCAGAGATGATTTGAATTTTGAAATCAAGAGCTGAAGAAAGGGGAAGTTGAGCTATTCTAAGGACTCTGCACAAAAATATAGGTTAGCAGAGGTTCTAAGAGAACTTAGGAAAACATTGGGTCATTAACAGGCTCTCAAATCTAGTTATTGAGTGAGAAATGAGAACAAGTGCAGTGATTTCTATTGTGCAGCAGGTACAAATCACAGCACTAGACACAGCAGAAAGAGTCATTAGGAACTCAGAATTCTGAGTCCAGACAGGTTAACACAGTAGAAAAGGCTCAGGAGTTTTAATTTAGTGAAATTTCAATGTATGACAGAAGTCTTTGGAGGACTCAAAGGACTCATACATAGCTCAAGACTGACTGTAAAATTAATTAGAACGCAGATCACCAGAGCAATAAAAATTGCAAAGCATGAGGAAAATAAAATAATTCCAAAAAGGAAGGGGATGACTTTGGACACCTTGTTACACAGAAGGACTCAGGATCTGAGAAAGCTGCTAAGTGCAAAGCAGCAGCAGCAAAACCAGGTGATTAAATTTACACAGAAAGTGTGGAGATAACCTGATGTTGTACTCACTGGTGAAAAGATGATGAAGAGGGATTAGGATGCAACTTTTCAAGATGCTGAAGGGGACATTAAAATGGACATAAGCTCAACTAAATGTTAACCCCAGGATGATGAAAAAATCAACAGTGAGAATTAAGGCAAGATGTGCTTACAGAAATGTCAAAGTTGAGACAAACAAACAAATTTGGCATTTAGAATGCATGTATTTAATAATGATTTCAGAAAGTTATCTAGTAAAGCCCATGAAAAAGCTGTAGGAGATGTTATAAGCCAGAATATCCATTTACTTTAAGCAAAAAAAAAGAAAAAACATTAAAAAGATTAAGTGCATTAGTGCATTGACAGCAAATACTTGCAAAGCCTTTCTGGAAGTATTTTAAAATTCATTAAGTCTTCCAGAACAAAAGCTTTTACGGGAAACATAGAAATGATTTATCTGTAGTACTACAAGTTCCAGGATGTGACTAGGTTGCAAATTGTTTCTCAGGCTTTCAAAAAGCAAAATTACGAAGTCATCACTCCTAATGCAACACGCAGCACGTTCGTTGGCAGATGCTACTGCTGTAATGTGGCTTTTATTGATTTCAGAAATAAACTGCGCGCTCTGCTTTCCACTGGATGTGATCTATTACCTTACCCTGTGGTAATGCACTTCTATCAGGACTCAACTGAAAGGGAGAGAACCTTACAATTGATCTATTTTTATTATACTATTTACTGTGAAATTCTTTTTTTTTGGGGGGGAACTTATAGATTGTATGCCTGTCTGAAAAAAGAATTCTTACTCCAAGTTTTGGAAACTTATTGTTCTAGCATATACCCTCTCTCCATAATACTTTTTTTTTCCAGAATACTCTATTAACACATTCAGAGATTTTTGAACTTAGAATCATAGAATGGTTTGGGTTGGAAGGGACCTTAAAGATCATCCAGTCCCAACCCCCCTGCCAGCAGCAGGGACACCTTCCACTAGACCAGGTTGCTCAAAGCCTCATTCAGCCTGGCCTTCAACACTTCCAGGGAGGGGGCATCTACAACTTCCTTGGGCAACCTAAAGACTCCAAAGTCTTGGTCTTATTTTTTAAAAAGTGAAACTGCAATCTGTGAAGTTTTATTAATCTGTTATTAGGAAAAAAACCCCTTAAAAAGTGAAACTGCAATCTGTGAAGTTTTGGGGTTTTTTTTCCTAATAACAGATTAATAAAAGTGTTAGCATTTTATCTAAAATATTTAGAGCTTTATCTTTTCTCTTAAGATAAAATTGTAATATTATTTTAAGGCCCATGGCCTGAGCTAGAGCTTTAGAGATTTAGAGATGCAGTTACTTTTTGAAGAAAAAGTCATATGGCAAGTCTGCTCCCCAAGCTTAATTTCATAAGGGAGATGCAAACTTTTCTACCTCTTGCCTGTAATTCAGATTAATACGTTAAAAAGCAAAACACCACTAAACATGACTCAGCTCAATATGTGCAGCAGATGTCATCTTCCTTGGAATTAGATTGGTTTTCCTCAGAAATGCCAATGTTGAAGTTTCTGCATAATGGGAACAGTGTTCTCCAAACAATGTCTTGTTTTATGGCCAAGTAATGAAGATCTTACATAGGCTGATCTTATAAAAAGGATTAATTTGTTTGTATTCTGCTCTGCTACAGCTGACAGAACTCCATGTGACAGCAACAGCCCAAACTAGTATTTTCTGCAATGGAGATGTGCTTGGGCAGTATGTGGTGCAGTGTAGTTTATAAAACAATGGTTCCAGACGTGGATATTAGGTAAAGAAAACAAAACAAAACCTATAAACACTTACTGCACATTGATCAGAAGGAAAAAAGCCAGTTGAATGTGGATGGGAGTGGTTTTTATTTCAGGAAGATTAAGAAGACTTCAGAATTAAGCTATGGCTCAAGCTAAATAACAAAGGTTTGTTTTGTAGATATCTTTGACAATGAATTTTAATTTTAATTTTTGAACTGGCATAAACAGAGAATGGATCTCATCAGAATTGGAAAAAAAAAACCAAACAACTAAAAAACCAACCAACACCAAGAGAACTAACCAGATATCCTTTTAAAGTTGTAACCTGCAGAATAGTGAGAGCTTTACCTGTTGCATGTTTGTTTCAGAGGGTCTGCTTTCAAGTTCTTCCTGAAGATGTTGACTCCTCCTCTCTGCTTGTAGGAGCTGGTGTTGGAGCTGCAGGAACTGTTCCTTGGGCACCATAGCACAGCCTTGCTGCTGGAGCTCCTGGGAGTGTGGTGACTGGCTAAGCATCACACTGGTGCTCGAGTGGAGCATCTGAAGAGTAAAATACATCAGCCATCAGGAGAGAGCAGCGCTGCCGTTCACACAACAAATCTTTTAGTGACGCGTGAGACATCAGGTTAGTCTTGAACAGTCTCTTGTATGCAGGAGAAACAAGCCTGAACTCAGTAACAGAAGCTAAATAGACAACTTTTCTCTTTGCAATGAAAAAAGATGCAAAGATGCCTCTTTATGTGCAGTTCTGGAGTCTAAAGGAATCTGAAAATCTAAAGGAATCTGAATTAAAAATTCACAGAATTTCTGATTAATTTCTGTCAAAGTTAAATGCGCCTGTGATGAGCTTTAACTTAAGAGTCCTTTTGAATTTTAACCTTCATCTCAGCAGCTCTTCTAAAAATAGTATCCACTCATAAATAAAAGCACTAGCATGATGCAGGCTGAAGAAATTGTCTGCCAGTGCTTTTTTTTTTTAGTCTTTAATCTAGGATGGAGAGATAACAATCTTAAATGCAAAACTGATTTTTTGTGTCATGTATGATTGCTTCAGTAATTTGAGGGCAGCTGCTACATTACATTCAGAATTCAGTATTTACAATTCCATGTATCTTTCCTTATATTCACTACTAACTGTAGAAATTTTAAGACATTTTATAATTTTCTTGAGATATATTGAGTTTGATAGCAAGCCTGGAGACCTCCTGAGTGTCTGTGCTGCATAAGCAAAAATGTACTCAGAGGGGCCCTTGAAATATGTGTAATGCATGTAGTAATCTGAAGCAGTTAAATTACAAATTTAAGTCATGCTTTCACTAAAATAAAAGGTTACCAAATGCATCAGCAAATCTACAGAATCACAGAATCATAGAATGGTTTGGGTTGGAAGGGACCTTAAAGATCATCCAGTCCCAACCCCCCTGCCAGCAGCAGGGACACCTTCCACTAGACCAGGTTGCTCAAAGCCTCATCCAGCCTGGCCGAGAACACTTCCAGGGAGGAGCAGCCACAGCTTCTCTGGCCAACCTGGGACACTGTCTCACCACCCTCACAACAAACAATTTCTTCCTCACACCTCACCTAAATCTCCCCTCTTCCAGTTTAAAACCATTGCTCCTCATTCTATCGCTACTTCCCATTGTAAAAAGTCTCTTCCCAGCCTTCCTGTAATGTAAAAGTAGTACCTACCAACAAAGAGTTCATGCATACTGGTTGTCCTTTGTGAAGTTCTACTACCAGAGAAGTCTTCCAGTTGTTAAAATGAGGCATATCATGTAGGACAAAAGGATTGCATTCCTAATAGTCCTTGCTACAGCAAAAAGAGCACCTCATAACAGATTTGTCCCAAATGGTTTAGCTCCCTCCCATCATTTCACTAAGTGCTGCTCCCAAGCAATGCCATGACAGTTAGGGGATGAAAGTGGCTAGAAAAGAGGCATTTCTGGCATTACCTTACTGCACTGCAACCAACAAGAGCCCGTGTTAGATAAACTGGCCCAGCATTAGATGAGCTTTCAGACAAGAGCTAAGATTGCTTCATGAGACTGTTCAGCATTTTTCTAGACTAAAGTAAAATCCAGGTAAGACTAGCTCACAGTTGTAACAGGTTCTATTACTAAAAAAAGACCATAACTGTACAGTAAACCATTGCTTCATGAGACTGTTCAGCATTTTTCTAAAGTAAAATCCAGGTAAGACTAACTCACAGTTGTAACAGGTTCTAATACTAAAACAAGACCATAACTGTACAGTAAAAAGCCCCTGATGTTTCAAACAAGCTGATTTACAGCTTGAATTTGCGTAAGATTAATACTTTCTTCCCATAAATTTCAGTTGACCACATGATAAAATTCTCACCTATTATCTCAAAACCATTACTTTGTTCCCTTAGGAAAAGGCATATAAGATTATGTTAGTGGTTTGAATTTTCCTGACACTATCACGAGTGGTGTAATCAAAGCCTCAGTTCATAATTATATTTCAGTTATTGAGTTCATCTATAACTTAAACAGCTATAAGCATTTTTCATAATAATGCAGCTCCTCTGGCTGTGTTAGCATCTGTACATCTCTGCCTGACCAGGTAAATGGAAAATAGGTTTGTAAGTATTTAAAAATAAAACTATTTGTGTTTTTTTTAAGCTATCAGGAGGTTCTCTCAAATCAACTTGTCTGTAAAGGAGCTATTCTTTTACTGATAATATAAAGAGTAAAAATAATGAGCTTTTGATGGCATTTGTTTAGGGTTTTCCTGTAACACGAAGCACACGAGTATCTAATGAAAGAGCTGAAGAAACAATCAATATTAACAGCACCTTAAAAATAAGTAGCAATTATGTGGCTAATGAAAATAATATAGTCTTGCCATACTCATCTGTGGAAGGAAGTGGAACAACAATGAACTTGCAAAACTATTAGGGATGACACTGAGTGTGGTCACGGATCAGTTAATATTAAAGAAACACTTGACAGTCTAGTGAAAAAGCATGCAGATATCAGAGGTAACTATGAAAACACCTTCAAGCCTCACAGTCAATGGGTAAGAAGCAAGAGGTTGAGCCACTTTTCATTTTCTTACAACCAATTTAGTTCTTTCGAATGCAATTGGTTATTTCTCTTCATTTTCATGGCAATGCTTTAGAAGTATGCAACTTCTCAGCCTACAGAATCAAATTGCAGATACACTAACCACAAAAATTAGTGCAGCTGGCAAAGTAAAAATTTTACATTCAAATGAATAGTGGCTTCTTCACTTAAAAGATGCATGAAATAACAAAAAATAAAATAAATTCCATAAAAGAAAGAAAAGGTTTTCTCCATGCTATGGTAGTACATTGAAAATGATTGCTCTACCTTCGCACACTATTTCAGAAAGAGAACTGCACCCTTCTCTGCTAGTTCCAACCACTGAGTTCTAGACAGGTTAGCCATGAACAAAAGGAGAACAGGCACAAAAAAGAAAGTTAGAAGTCATAAAGTGCTAAGTGAATGTTATACACACCTGCTGGGAAAATGTTATCAGGAGTAACAAAAGTCCTGCATGTTTGAAATACAAATTTTAGGCAAAAACACAATTCCGTGCTTGGTGTTTATACTAAAGGATTTAACAGTGTTTGGAATTTCCCCAAAGCTTAATTAAGATTCTATAAATAAAAGCACAGGGCATAGAAACAATCTTTCAGTAACTTATTAGAAGAGATAAGATTTTGACAAAAGTTTTTAAAATTTATAGCTAATTAAGAGGCATATTGAGCGTAACATTTGCTTACTTGATAAAAACATTAATTCTAATAACATTGTAAAAGCCTCATCTAGAAGATAGAATGGTTAGGATTGGAAGGGACCTTAAAGATCATCCAGTTCCAACCCCCCTGCCAGCAGCAGGGACACCTTCCACTAGACCAGGTTGCTCAAAGCCTCATCCAGCCTGGCCTTCAACACTTCCAGGGAGGGGGCATCTACAACTTTGATTTATCAAAGATGCTTTGATTTATCAAACAAGTAAAAATTGTAGTGTTTTTTTTTTCTTTAATATTCTGTTTTAAAGTCAAATTCAGGACATCAAATTCAGGCAAGACTGCTGAGAAACAACTTGGAGGTCTAGCCTGGCCTTAAGGGATACACTTAACATCGTTAATCTTGCCCGTTCCTGTGAGCAAGGACACCTAAGAATTACACAGTGTTCGTAACATCCAGCATGATCCATATCCAGCAGTACTGAACAAACATCCACATTCACAGCAAGCTTTGGAAGAATCTCAGCTGAAGTTTTCACTCATGCCTTTAAATTAACAGCAAGTTGTGTAAACTGTTATTCTAGCACGATTTAGAGAAGATAGCAAGGCTTAAATTCAGCAAATTATTCCCACAGTAAATAAGAACAGGTTTCTACATTGAGAGCAGCGTTATGCAAATATTAGTTAGGAAACTTGAGGTTACATGTTTTAGGGAGGAAGAGGAAAGTGTTAGCCTTGCCTTAAGCACAGAAACAAATTTCTTCACTATTTGATTTTATATATGAAGCCTTATGTGAATTACAATAAACCACAACATGCTTCAGAGAAGCATGTTTGTCACATTAACATCTTGATCATGAAAGATGAGATTAGGCACTAGAGGAGATTAATTCTTCTCGTTTTTATTAGTTCCCTCTGTTTCTAGAAGTTGTTTTTAAATAAATTCATAGATTCAGTGAGGTAGTGATAAAGCCCCATGCTATTCAGTACAGCCAACACTGATTGAAAAGTACCTCCATCAACTGATCATCCAGTTTGACTTGCTTTTTTCTTAGCCCTTCATTTTCTGAGCTGGTTTCCAGTTCACGTTCAAGAGAATTCATTTGACTGATCTATTAAAGACAAGAAGTTTCCTTAGAAAGACAGGATTTTCTTATTTTATCTGTTTTGTGGGTTTTTTTTTCAATATGCAAGTCATGAATCACTGCACATCAAGACAACAAAAGATTTAAAAGACAAGTATTTGGACAAGGGTAATGCTTTGCTAAAAGTGACATCTAAGACAACGTTCTACAGCATCTCTGACACAAGTTTCAAAGAGCAGGCAGGGTAACTGATTTTTAATCTAAAAGTGGTAATGCCAGCAGACAAGTGCTGTGTATTGCACAGCACTTGAGCAAACCATGTTTGGTTTACAATTCCCACCTTCTACCACTGAACTATTCATATTGACCAGAAGTCCTGCAGCACATTGGCACAGGCTTCCACCCTGCAGAAGCACAGAAGACTCCTTGGGACAGGGATTTGTAAGAGACAAAGAGCACAAAGCTCAGAGTAAAAGAAGAAAATTACAGCTTACCACATTAGCTCTTAAAGATGGAAAGTCCTGCATTGAGTCACATATTTACCATCTGAAACTAACCTTCCTATTTGCAGATGACAACTCCTTCTGAAGCTGCTCACACTCTCTCTTCAAGCTTAATTTCTCTTGCTCTATGGCTTTGACGATACCTGACTGGCTTTGATGCTTTTGGTGCTTTAAGGAAAGGATAGTAGATTCCAGCTGTCGGATCTATAGAGACCAGTGAGAAACAAATGTGGAAAGACATCCCAGAAAATTAAAAAATAAAATAAAATAAAATAAATTGCATCTACTTAATCTAAAACATTGAGTAAAAATTGATTTTGGACTCATAACAGATTCTGGTGTATTTGTGACATTTTAGCTTTGAGCAACAAAGTCTTTCCCTTCCTCCTCCCCATAATCTGTCTAATACTGTGAGCTATAAAATCGAACAGGAAGAATGTTCAGAATATTTAAAAGTTTTTATGAAAGACACAAAATTGAAGGGTGTTAACTGAAAGTTGGACCAGAATCTTAGACAAGAGTTGTCAGGATTTTCTTTCGAAAAAAAGAGCTGTCTGAAATATCCTAAGAGTGTCTGCACACTCAGGGCAGGTATAAAGGAAAACTACTCCATTATGCATTCTTTCTACAAATGTTTCTATTCAAAATTAACGAGCAACATTCCTTTCCTGTATCACCCACTGGAAAAAAACAAGAATCATTAAGTTTTGCCTAGCACACAGGGACTGCCTCTGTGATCACAGAGTGGCCTCCATTGGAGAAAAGACCTTTAAGCTCATGGAGTCCAACCATGAACCCAACACTGACAAGTCCCCTATGACTAACCCATGTCCCTCAGCACTATGTCTACACGACTCTTCAATCCCTCCAGGGATGGGGACTCCACCACTGCCCTGGGCAACCCCTTCCAATGCCTCAGAACCCTTGCAGCAAAGAAATTCTTACTCACATCCCATCTCAACTGCCCTGGCCACAACTGGAGCCCATTTCCTCTTGTCCTGTCCCTTGGGCCTTGGTTGAACAGACCCACCCCCACCTCTCTCCACCCTCCTCCAAGGGACTTGCACAGAGCCACAACGTCTCCCCTCAGCCTCCTTTTCTCCAGGCTCAACAACCAGCTGTGATCTGTCAATTTGCTCAGGTTACCTTCTCCCTGGAGTGAGTCAGGTCTGTTTTCGTGCTCTGCACTTCTCTCTGCAGCCTCTCATTCTCCTGCCTGAGCAGCTGCTGCTCCTGTTTCATCAGCTGGTCCAGTTCATCCCAGTGGACTTGCCTCTGTTGGTCCCGAAGCCCCGAGGAAGGCACAGCCATTTCTAGAACCCGATTCTTAAGACAGACAGAAGTGCAGGGTTAGGCCTTACACAAAGAAGCAGATGTGTTCTGTTTTCAGGTGGGTTTTAAGTAGGTTTCCAGTAACTGCAGACTTGAAAGTCGCAGGATTCCCACCTTCCTCCCAGCCTACACACTATCTCCCACTAAAAAACCCAACATGCTAATGATAGTGGAAGACCAAAGTGCTTCCCTTTGCTAAAATCAGAGATAATGGCTGTGTGCCAGAGGGATGATATGAGCACACAGAGTTCAGCACCACATAAAAAAAACCCCAAACCAATTTGTGCTCCATTTCCCAGCCTCATCAAGCAAAGATTAGAACTCGGTATTATAGATTATTCAGTAATAGCTGTAATTTAGTTCCTGTTGTACAATTCTCAAACAGCCTCTTTTCCATGTGGACATTAAATATTCCTTAATTACACAGCAAACAAGCCAAATTACTGACTGAATTCATAATACCAATCCCAAGACTGCTGTCTCCAACCTCCTTCAGTTCTTGTTCCTCATCAGTTAAGAGAGGCTGATAAAATACTGTGCCTTTCAAACCCGAGTTTGACTGAAAATCAGATCCCACTGTCAATTACTAGTTTGACTCTCAGTATGTTTATATTTTTGATAGGTATAAATTCATACACCGTCCACAGGGGGGTTTTTTTGGGGCACTTTTGTTTGGTTGGTTTTTTTTCCCCCAAAAAAGATTTATTTCAGGGAAGAATGAAGACTCAGGAGATGGACTGATCGTTGCCTGTCTTCACATTCCAAACTTAAAATAAAGGGTTTTTTTAAAATAATCTGCATATTATATATAATCCAACAAGATTTCTTATAGCTAACTGTTTTAAAATTGAAAAAATACTAAATATAGAATATAACATTAAATGGGGCTTTTTTTTGTACCCACCTTTCAGCTTTTTAAAAAAATTATTAGCTTTATATCACTTGTTTAAAATTAAAAAAAAAAAATATTAATTTGCATAACTAGGAGTCTACTTGCTCCAACCTGCAGCACTATTTGTGTCCTTTTAGTGGACCAACCAGTCTAAAGAAATAAGTTGGCCCCAGCAGCAGGTTACAGAAGAGCAGCAGCTATGCTGTCCATAAAGCCTGGCATGCAAAGTTGACTTTGAAGCACCTGAAGTCCGTTACCTTTTCATTGGCATTCTGCAGTTGCTTGTGTAAAGACATCACTTCTTGTTTCAGAGTTTCCTTCTCCTGTTGCATCACCCGTAAGTCCAGTTTGAGTCGGGAGATTTGCAGGTTGGTGTTTTGCAGTATTTCATCTAGACTCTGAACCTGAAACAAGCAGGAACACAGCATTTGTTGGACCAGGATTTCTTGTAAGCTTGGTTTGCTAGGATGTGTAAACAGCACCTAGCACACGTTTAGGGTCTCCGATGGAAAGAGTAGTTCTAATGCTGACAGCCTCATTTTAAAAATGCTAACTGATTTTCTGACTTTCTGTTCCAAATTAGTAGCCTTTCAAGTATTCAAGTATTACTTTGAATACATCTGCAATACTGTGTTCAGAGACACATCTTCCAGCCCTGAACATTTATTGAGATATGCTGGGTAGAAAAGATTTCTCTTGAATTATTTATTCTTCCTGAGAGCCCATGGCCAACAAGAAACCCCAAGCACAATCAGCCAAGCAAACAGCCATTTGGAGGAACTAACC